TATATATATATATATATAACACCATCTAGTCATAGGTCAGTGTAAATGAATGCAATGCATGAGAAGTACGTCAATAAAATCTTTTGGAGTGTCATAAAACCAATTTGCCTTTGATTAATATCATGAAATAAACTTTATCAACTTACGTATTTTCTGAGACCCATGAACAGAAGATGTAATAATAAGACACATGGGAATTCAAGAACATAGGCACCTCTAATACTTCTATGAGTAGATTCATTTATGGAAGTTGTGCATTTGCTCATTTCGTTTGTGTCATATAGATCATGCCAAAAGAAAAAAAGGGATAGCCTTAACATACCTGGAATAGGGAAAAATCCGTATGATATTCTTGAAAAATATTACACCATACTCCCTTAGAATATCAAAACCTCACGTTGCTTAAGACGCTAAGAAATCTTGTTGGAATTTTTGTTTCAAGAAATCTCGTTGAATTCATATTGCTAGCGTTGTAATCCTTTTGCATTTACTTAGTTACTAACTAGTAATATTTTTCTATCAGTTTATTAGCTGTTGTATTAACATGCTTGCTAAATGATAGTATGATTGAAAACGAAAAATACAACTACTTTACCAAAAAGAATCTAGAAACAACTTTAGAGAGGAGAAATTATCGTATTTGCTCTTAAAAGGATTGAGAGTTTATTATGTGTAGACATGCCTGAACTGTACTAAATAGTTTTTGTTGAGGAACTATATTAAAGCAAAGTTTTGCTTGTAATTGCTCTAATAATGTGACACCTTTCTTCATATCATATGAGTCACTTGGTGGCTTTATTAACCATTTCATGGGCTGCCACGTGGGGGCCTTTGTCCCCACTTATTCACAAATCCTTAATTACATGGTTAATCTCCCATTAAACCAATAATTAACCAATTACCTATATAATTAAGAATTATCTCATATTACTTAGAATACTACTCCCTTTTAACACACCTTATATACCTTACTATTATGGTCACGTGGTACCTTGTATGATACTAGTCCATAAATACCGGGTATTTTAACTCTTGCTGTATTTTATCATAAAATGTCAAACTTCAACGAAACTCATTTCCTTCAATTCGTTTACCCTTTCACCTTCACGAATTACCCATCACTTGTTTGAAATAGCATAATGCTTATAATCTCAAAATAATCTCATTCCCGAACTTACGCCGATTAACTTACGACGAAACTTTAACATACGAAAATGCGGGATGTAACATCTCATTTTCGAGGTTCCATCAATTTACTTATGACGTACTTTCACATACGAAAAATGAGGTATAACATCATTCCCCCCTTTGGAACATTTGTCCCCGAATGTTGACTGATGCACTTATCATTTTCATGGCTTATGCCTTCCGAAAACTTTAGTACTCTCCTTGCCATCTAGGCAACTGTTCTGGGAATAATTCCAAAGGCTAGGGAATTTTCCCCTTTAGGCCTCTTTCTCACACCATGACTTATGGTCAGAATCCTTCTAATCTCGTAACTGTTG